CCTGCAGGAGACAAGTGCGCAGCCCCTCTCCTGCCATCATCATCAGCTGCTGCTCTCATACCCTCCCCTGCCCGCCCCTTCTGCAAAATCATGAGCCGCCCGGCGCTTTTTCTCTCTTAGTTTTGTGCATTCGGACGAGAAGTCTTGGTCTAGGTCTGGCTGTACGATGGTGCTTGTGGCTGTTAGGAGTAGGAAGGAAGTGAAGCAACCCCGAAGCAGAAATAACAGCTCTGTCAACAGGGCTGTTTCTTCAAACCGTGTAATCTTCTAAAGCAATATTGTAAACGACCACTACCTTAGTTATAATCTTGATGAAATACTCTAAGAATGTGAAAAGACAGAAGTAGCTGTCTACTTTGCACAATTTTGTCCATCCATGGAATACGCATAAATTTCAGCGTCCAGTTAAAGATCAAATAACCACGTGTTTCACATTTAGCTGGAATGGTACACACGTGCATTTCCAAATTCATATAACCATTTGGTAACAGGTGAAAGAACAATCCCCACTAAAAATCGTATTTCTCTGTAAGAAAAGGCATTGAGTATGCCAGAATCCTGTCTACTTTCTTTTTGATTGGCACATCTCTGTAGAAAGAAAGTTCCTACTCCCATGAATGAAGTCTAGTGGGTAAGTCTACAAATTTGCCTGATATTTTTTTATAAATCCCAAAGAATTCCCTGCTGGTTTGAAAACAACAGCAGTAATAAGTGATGCCAGATTTTTTTCTACAATAAGAATGTGTGTGTCCACAGCTGGTATTAGAACAAGAAGCAGCAATACTGTCCTGAAGTCAATTTTCCCTGAAGTAAATTCCAGGATTGCTGACAAGCTGGTATGTGACTATGAGTTACTATTTTCTTTGTTGAGATGTGACTCATACTGTTCAAAAGACTGGAAAGTTCCGATTTATCTTGGTTTTAGTTCAGATCCCATTACCAGTCACAATTGTCTCACTGAATTGTATATTTTACTAACTTCTTCCATGTCCTTATTATAGGTAAAGTTCCATACATATGTTTCCATTCCCACGGAAACCATTCTTGCTCATTCAAATAATTACTTTGAAAATCTACACAGCGCTGGTGAAATCGGAAATGTTGGAATAAAATTCATAATAGCTGTTCACCTGACATGTTTCCAAAGGCATCACAGTGTTCAGTGCAGCTGAACTCCTATTGCCTTGTAGCAGACTGCCAAGAGTTAATTGCTGGTTATCCCACTCCACTAGAATGGGATAACCTGGTTGCCTGAACTGCCAGAGTTAAAACATTAAGTTGTACTGTCTAAAACATAGACAGCAGACATAAAACATAGACATACTGCACAGTCACAGTCTGGATGTTGCTGCCTGTCATAATTTCTTAGTTGTTTGTTTCGGGTTTTGGGTGTTTTTATTACTACTTGACAGATTTGGAATCCCAATCAGAAAATACTGTTATATCAGAAAGTATTCTCTTGAATCAAAAGAATAAATCCTGGAAATGGTTTATGTTCAGTCCGCAATGTTTCAGTGTACCTTTTCTGGATCTGGGGTTGAATAATTTGGATACTGTTTTGAGGCCAATGATTAATGAATTCATTACACACAAGATTACGGTATCTGTGTGGAATTATCATTCCACACAAAGTATGAACATCGCACATCTTGCCATAGAACATGGGAATTTGGAACAAAAATTCAAATGGTAGTAGTAACATCTATGCTGGTGTACCAAAACTCTCTGGAGATGGAGAAAGAATAAAGGAAAATGACACAAAATGTGTCTGAGAAAACTGTCTCCTGACATGTCCTGATCTCTTCACGCACAGAAATTTGAGTATTTCAGAAAATTTCCTACATGACCAACAGCCATATTTTCACGTCATTAAAGAGGTGTCCCTTCTGTTAGCTAATGGGGGTTGTGGAAGACTCTAAGTGTCCCTGCCAGTCTTTCTACCCTGGCATTTCTGTTCTACTGGTTAGAAGCCCTCTTAAAACATGGATGTACTACTTCAACATTCTTGCTCCTATTCACTTCCTCTTGCTGTATCCTGACACCACAAGTTTATGCAACACTATATCACAACATATAATGAAAAGAAGCAGTGACAGGAAACCATAAAAGCTGCTGAACACCCCCCACCCCCCCCCACCCCCTCCCCCCAGCCCTTGTCTTCAGGTTTGTCATTTTCATTTTATAACAATGAAAGATGGGCTTAAATGTGTGAATGTCTCTGTGGGGACGATTTGCAAAGCTTCATCCCCTTGCAGTTTAGTTTATCTGCACACTGCAAAGTGCTGCAATGTTGAGCTATCCTAATAAATTCTCAGTAAGCTGACTTGGGCATCAGAGCAGTAAAAAAGAAGTTACGTCAACTAGGAAGCCCTGTCAGACATACTGCTATCATAGCTACATCGCTTCTAATACTCAGCCATGCTTGCTTAAAACTACTTCAGGTCTCTCTGCTCCTGAATGCATTGTTAAACAGAAAGCACAGCCTCTCTGTTAAGAGGTAACAGAGTGCAACAAGCTCACAGATACTCAATTTCTCTTATTTATGGTCAGTGATGAACAGGGAGTTGTTTTGGTCTTATAAGTTGGCTGTAGGAAAGAAACTTTACTTTGCATTGCCTTGTCCCCGAAGCAGCATGCTACAGTTTTTATCTGCTTGCCTGAATCTTGAAACTAAATTAAAATTAACTGGCCAAGGATTGACCTTCGTGAGACTTGGGTGACAACAGCTGTCAATGAGAAGCCCAGAAGGAAATCAATGTTTGTGCCTCTATAATACTACACTGTGAACTGAGACAGGTAGCTGTCTGCATCAGCTACAAGGAGAAATTAGCAGTTGGGAGGTTACAGCTGGAAATGAGGTACAGGCCCATGGAGGGTACAGTTTGTGAGTTCTACCTGACTGTAGAAATTACAGCCGTGATTCATCAGCTTTTGCTCAGGCTGCAGAAACCCTGCCCCTTGTGCGCAGTGAGACCAACCTGCTCGATGAACAGCGCTTCTTTCTTCCAAGTTGGAAAAGGAGTTACAAAATTGATTCTAATTTCCAGATTGGGATGTGGAAGGTATCCTTGAAACAGTTTTGGCATAGCGAAACTTGTATGGGAGAACCTGTCTCAGGATAACTGTTACTCTACACTCCAAGACATGGTGTCTAGTGAATTTGCACGTTCTTGGGAAATACTGAAATTCAAAACTATGTTCCTAAATAAAAGCATATTGCATTGTGTTGTATTTTAGGTTTCTTAAATTCTCAAGGAAACATACTGGCTAACTGCCTCATTACAAATAATGTCACCTTCAGAAAAAGTAGTATCTCTGATTGGTTCAGCAAAGTAGAACCAAATCACTTGTGAAAGCATAACAGAGAATAATTTCTGAATGGATTTTTCACTCAACTTAGTACTACATGCAAACCTGCCAAAGCTTGTATATTTTATTTTGACCTGCTTTTTAAAAGATATTCAGCACAATGCAATGTCAGCTTACTTTATCAGGAGAAAGTGTTCATTATTCAAATGGCTTTTCTCCTGGTATATTATATTCATACATTTGCTTCTCTGCTGAAGATCTAGAGACACCAACTCCTTTGGAGAAAGTACATTTTAGGCATTATTCATATTCATATGTTCTTTGAAAAGGTTTATCTATAGCCTAAAGGGGAGTGTACTCTCTGTAAGTTGGAAATTCTGACATTGTTCTTATTCAAAAGAATAGTTGAGCATATTATGGAATTCAGAAGAGTGTTTTAATAATTTAGTGTTCCCATCATTTACATTATCCCAATCCTGCTTATTCAGGTTATTGAATATTTAATACTGAATAAGGCTCTTCTGCTGTGGATTTACTTATATTTTTTTCATTGCTCATAATTCTGTGTAACAACATATGGCTCTTAATGCTGTTCAATCTATAAATAACAGGAAAAGGAAGAACAGAAGTTCTCTGGTGTCAGTCTAGCTCTTCAGATTGAGAACAGTAAGTCCACGACACAGTACTTCAAGTTCTGTTCAAAACTGAGCAATAACATTCTGTGTGTTGTAGAATATTAAATGTAATCTACCAGATGATTCATATAAAATAATGAAGAACGGGCTTCCTATAACTGCTTATTAAGAAGAACTAGATTTTGATCTTCTGTAAGAATTTCTGCCAGGATGACGCATTGGGAAAAAATGTTAACAGTTCAGTTTGCCTTTAATATTGCCTTTATTATTTTTAATGATTGCTGGGATGTATTTCAATTCCTTAGGAAGTATTTCTGTGCAGAACTAGCAATATTATTTCAATGATAAGTTTGCGATGTCATGTTGTAAGGAACCAGGATAAGGTACTTTACCCTGAGGGCAGGCAAAGGAAGAACTGTGACTGTCAAGAAGGAGGAAGAATTTACTATTGGCCAATACCAAGAGCAACTTCCTCCTCTGCATTAATTCAGATCTGCCAGCCCATGTAGAAGCAAGCTGAATCAACGATCTACTCATTCCCTGCCACTTTCTGCTCACAAATGCTACTGAGAAGGGGGAACACATACGGGTTCAGGATCTGTGCTCAGATCTCCAATGTGAATGGCCCACATAAGGAAGCAAGAGAGCAACACCATCGAATTTCTCACTGATGTATGGCAATGAGGATCTTGTGTTTAGTAATTAGCAAATCTGAATGGTTTGTTTCTCTTAATTTCATGCATATTAATGGCACTACTTCCTACTGCACAATTTGTGGTACCCTCATCTGTGTTTATATTTTGGGACTTTCACCCTTTCTTTGAAGGCGCATTCTCGTTGGTTCAGTTAGCACCAGTGGCTCTTGTATAATGGTTGCTGGATAATTTTTTCCTAAAAGTTCAACTTCCAATTTCTGTCCAACTTTGCTGAGTTCTGTGGGAACATATGCAAAAGCCAGACTCTGCTGAGCACTGTAACTGAAAGTTCCAGATGTGGTGTTGCCAATAACCTGGAAAAAAAACCCCACAAACATTTATCTTTATTTTCAAGATGCAGTGAGGTTTTCTTAAAAAAAAAAAAAAAACAACCAACAATCAAACCAAACAATTATACATCTCATGTACTAGTTTTGGTATATGCACTTCAGACATCAAGCAAATTTCAAGTGTGTCATGCAGTTCCTAATATTCTCTACTGTGGGTGACATCACCTTGAACTGGGAATTTTGTACTCCTTGAAAAAACAGTCTATTCCTATTGTGTTCAATTAAGTTTTTACCAGAACAAACACTATACACATGCATACGTTTCTTATATACAATATTTTAACTCCTAATGAGCATTTCAATATGTAATCTGTGCTGGTGTGGAGGCCTAAACTTTGCTGCTGTTTTGTTTCTAAGTGAATAGCAAAAGTGTTGTTAGGACAACAGTGAACTTGCAGGAGAAGAGAATGGATGAGTTAATACATTAGTCTGTTCCAACTCTAGTTTCTCTGACTTGATGGTATTTCACATTTATTTTGTAGACTTTGCTTCGTGCTTGAAGATTAGAAAATGGTTATCATAGCTTCAAATTGTTCTGTGCCAGTAAAACAAAAATAATGCACTCACACTTGAAACACAAAGTTAGATTCTGTTCATGGAGAATTAACATTAGTTTCTTGTAACATGATCTATAGTCCTTACCTTGCCATTATGCCACACACTTTCATTTCCCTCTGGATCGACGTTATCTGTTTCCACAGTGAGATACACCAGTCGTCGTTTGAGCCCCTTTTCTTTAATCTGCTTCAGTGCTTGCTTTCCTGTGAAGTCTGCTGGCTAAAAGAAATAGAAGACAATGATGATATATGGTTATTTAGGTTCTGCAAAAAGTTTAGAGATGCAAACGTTTAAATTTGTCTTCATTTGTTTTCCTATCACTTAAGTATTCTCTATGAAATCTAGATTAAATCAAATCTTTGACAGATATTATGTCTTGTATCTTGGTGTTTTTATATTGGTACATAATATCGTGGTAACTTTATTGAGTATATTAGTTTTTCTAGATCTCAGTCCTTTAATATCCGTAATTCCAAGTGCAGCAGAAATACATTTGTAGTGAGATGTGTGCTACAAGACTGTCTGCCCAGTTAAAGTTCTGAGCCAGAAGACTGTGTTTCATTTCAGTTTCTATAAAAAACCTGGAATACCAACAGCCAGATCATCAAGCCTTGGCCTTCCGATGTCGACACACATCCTTTTTGATGCCATCAGCAACCATGATAGTAACTTGTTACTATTCCACTTTGTTATCTCTGCCAGGCTGCGGAGCTGGCAGTTTGGTCCATATTATTGTTTTACACTGTCTGTCTGCTTTTTGCATATCGACACAGCATGTTAGTTAAAGAATAATACTATCTTTTGGAGTTCCCTTTTTCAGCTTGCCTAAAAAGGTATGAGCAGATTCTCTTATTTCTAGAAGCAGACTGCATAAATGTCTGATAAGTATGGGGGGAGTCATCAGTAAGTCTCTGAATCTTAAATACTGTATGAGACAGTATTTATTGTATGTGAAAATGTTGAGCTGATTCCACTAAGATAGTCTGATTCCACGGACAGGCTCACAGATATGAGCTTGTTTTGCTTACCAGTAGCTGTGAACCTGACTTGTTTCACACTGTTATCTCCTAAATCTTAAATGTAACTCAGACAACTTCCTTATTTAGTTGGGTGGGTAGAGAATAAATTGGAAAAAGAAGTCGTAGAAAGAAGAGTTGTTGTTAACTTTGTGGTCCTGGACAGAATGCCTCAAGAACCAAGAGAAAGCCTCTTTCAAAGATGCTGATAGTGTGGACAGAGAATAAAATAGTAATCAAGCTGCATATCATTATTGCTAACAACTGTGCAGTAAATATTAGGAACAGTGGCTTACAAATTCTGCCTATTCATTTCTTATTTAAAGATATAGATCAGTCAGAACAAAAGATTTGTATTCAACTAATTTGCCAGATCCACACCAGCCTGATCCCATGGGCAAGAAACATAATAGCAGTTACAAGGTCCTCTAGCTTTCCAGCCTTTGCCGAGAAGATGAATAGCAGTGAAAGCTATTTTAAGACACTTAATCTTAGGACACTGTGACAGCTCTAGTAGGTCTGAAGCAGGAATTATATTCACTTGATGAGTGTTCAAGAGAAAAGAAGGGAAATATTGTTGAAGATGTCAAAAATACTGTTTCTGGTAATGTCCTTTAATTTCTGTGGAGAATTATTGCACTGTCAGAATCACAAGCAACACATACTTGTGCTTGGGACAGATTATTATGCAGTTGGTTCATGAGTTCTTATTTCTGTAGTCCTTCTTTAGGTTCACATACGTCTTTGTGTGGGCACAAAAGAAATTACTAATGTGATGTGGAGTTTTTGAACTTTGAAAGATGCAACTCTGTAAGCAGTTGTGGAAAACAGCTTATGAGCCAGTTACAAAGCAGTCAGTCTGAAAATCAAGGTGGACCAGCTGAGGATAAGGCCGATGTTGCACATAAGGATCATAGATGGCCCCCTTTGGGAAAAGACAGCATGAAATACAGGCCAGATCAGAAAAAGATTGGACTCTGAGGATTCATTTTGGAATATAACTTCCAAGATGCTACTGGAAAAGATAAAACAAAGATCTCAGACCAGGCAATAACCAGCTGCTGGTAGTTCCCTCTCACTTTTCATAGAATGACGTTTCTACCACACAGGAATATACATGAAAGGTAACACCTACAACTAGCAACACAAATCACAGAATCATAGAATTGTTTGGGTTGGAAGGGCTTTTAAAGGTCCTCTAGTCCAATCTCCCCTGCAATGAGCAGGGACATCTTCAACTAAGATCAGGTTGCTCAGAGCCCCCTCCAACCTGACCTTGAATGCTTCCAGGGATGGGGCATCCACTACCTTTCTGGACAACCTGGACCAATGTCTCACCACCTGCATCACAAAAAATTTATTCCTTATATCTAGTCTGAATCTACCCTCCTTTAGTTTAAAACCGATACCCCTTGTCCTATTGCCACAGGCCCTGCTAAAAGTTCTGTCCCCATCTTTCTTATAAGTCCCCTTTAAGTACTGGAAGGCTGCTGTAAGGTCTCCCTGGAGCGGCCTTCTCTTCTCCAGGCTGAACCACCCCAACTCTCTCAGCCTGTCGTCACAGGAGAGGTGCTCCAGCCCTCTGATCATTTTTGCAGCCCTCCTAAGGGCCCACTTTAACAGGTCCATGTCTGTCTTGTACTGGACATAGTACTCTGGGTGGGGTCTCACCAGAGTGAAGCAGAGGGGCAGAATCACCTCTCTTGACGTGCTGGTGATGCTTCTTTTGACACAACCCAGACTATGGTTGGCTTTCTGGGCTGCGAGCACACGTTGCTGATGCACGTCCAGTTTTTCATCCACCAGTACCCCCAAGCCCTTCTTTGCAGTGCTGCTCTCAACCCCTTCTTCCTCCAACCTGTATTGATACTGCGGCTTGCCCCAACCCAGGTGCAGGACCCTGCACTTGGCCATGTTGAATCTCATGAGGTTCATGTGGGTCCACTTCTTGAGCTTGTTGAGGTCCCTCTGGATGGCATACCATCCCTCAGGTGTGTCAACCACACCTCTCAGCTTGGTATTATCTGCAAACTGGCTGCGGGTGCAGGCAATCACATTGTCTATGCCATTGATGAAGATATTGAACAGTACTGATCCCAGTATGGACCCCTGAGGGACACCAGTCGTCACTGATCTCCATCTGGATATTGAGCCATTGACCACTACCCTCTGGATGCGACTGTCCGTCCAATTCATGATCCACCGAATAGTCCATCCATCAAATGCATAGCTCTCCAATTTTGAGAGAAGGATGTTGTGGGAGACTGTGTCAAAAGCATTACAGAAGTCTAGATGGATGATATCAGTAGCTCTTCCCTTGTCCACTGATGGACAAATAAGACTGTATACCACAGCATGACACACAGACTAAAATGCTTTGTATGACACACAAAAATACTGAGGAAGTAAATATTCCACAGGTATGCTTAGCACTGAATTAACTCATTAACTCGTTCCTATACATGCTAATGTAGCATCTGGTATTTAGTCTCAAGGAATGTAACTGTGGAACTACACACAAGTATTCAAATACAATGTCATATACCCTTGGGCCTTCTGCCTTCCAGCTGCTGCCCTGGAAGAGGTTAGGTCTCCCTTCCATCCTGTGTCATATTTGCCAACCCAATGTGGATGTTACTGATGCACTAAGGCATCTAAAACATCTATGTATGAAGGTCCGTGAATCCCCATTTTTAGGTGTCCTAGTAATATAAGAGTGGCAACAGGCAGGACTCTCAGAACTGGCTTCTGACAGCATTCTTCTACTGTGCCCTTTTCCTCAGCCAAGTCTACATCATTTGGGAATGCAACATCACACAGCAGTCATGTAGCTACTGCTGTACTGAGAGCACAGCTCCTTTTTTTCTGGAGTATTCAGACACTTGTAAGTGCATAGCCATACAGAGAAATGAAATACTTATAAAACACTTATTTTCATGTTTGGGGTTGTTGTGGGTTTGTGTTTTTTTTTTTTTTAAATTCAAGATTTCAGGTTAATTGATACCTCTATGAATTCCTCATTTAGAAATGGAAAAACAGTTTTCATAAAGGTTAATCATAATGCATCAATCATAATCAGAGCCTTGAGCATGACCTGGTAACAGATGTGTACTGCATGTATGGGTCACTTCCAGATTAACTGTATAGATGACAGTTAACTCCTGTTAATATACTAATTACTGGAACCTTGAGGTTGACAGCAAAAATAATTTTGTCTTCCACTTCTTAATTACCTTTTAGAGGTGGAAACCATTAGAGCAAGCAGCTAGCAGACTCTAGAATCTACATATCTCTGAATCATTCTTTGTCTTTTGGTTACACATACAAAACTAAATTCTTACCCAAATAATTTTAACAGGGGCAGGCTTTTGGCCACCTGGAATAAATCACTACATAGTTCTTATGCTAACTGGAGATGGATTTGGGTGAGTTCATGTAATGGGTTTGTTATTTTATGTTCCTTGAAGGTTAAAAGTATTCTTGTCTTTTTAGAATCATGACCTGTAAAAATAACCAAGAGGTAACCTAGAATTCAAGCTCTGCAAAATATACACAAATATATAAATAAATATATATATACACACAAACAGACACTACACAAAAATGTGTGTGTATATATATGTATACGGACATATATAAACACATGCATACATATATGAACACTATATGAACAGGGATAAAAATGTATGTATGAAAACAGATGTGTATATATGAAGTACAACTGCCAAAAGTACGTATATATATACATATTTAAACATTTAAAGCAACTTCTTAAGAAATTCTAACCATATGGATCTGACTAGGTCAGTCGCCTTATTTTACACTGCTTGAGTATCCATGTCAATTGTACACTAAACACATTTCCACCACTATTCAATTTTGATTTATGAGTGTGTGTGCATTATGTTAGTCAATCAAAACAGCATTTTGGAAACTGATTCATTCAAACTCATTCTGACTATTCTTGGTAACAACTGTTTCATGTTTCCAGGAGAAAAACAGTCAATTAGGGTATTGCTTCTATTTGTTTTAGCTTGTCACACTAAATATTATGCAAGAAAAAATCCCATTCAAAACAGTATAATTCAGTAAATGAATATTAAAAAAAAACAACAAACAAAACAGAAGAAAAATAATAGAAATAAAAGAAAACCCTAAACAATTCTGACCTCAAACAAATATCAAATTTAAAGCTGCTCTTAC